AATGAGCCACTACCACTGATTTTAGCAAGGCCTCAGAAGCAGCTGTAAAGCAAAACTAGAATCACTGTACCCTCAGCAACCTAATATTTGTTAGGAAAAAAAAATGAAGTTGTGGGAGATACACTTTTCTAAAAAAAAAATCCCCAGCATGTAAACACAGAGACAGCAGAGGCAGCGGAACCTGAGAGGCAGCATCTAGTCTAAAAAACACCTGTAAAAGCCCATTTTGTTACTACTATTGCCATTTTTTGCCTGTAACAGTAGCAGGTGATGAACTCATATGCTACACTGTATAGAGCTGTATCAAGCCACACTGCTGAATAGATGAATGAAGTCTACACTCCTCTGGCAACAATCTTCAGCAGAGACCTGAAGTATTTATGACTGCAGACAGTGCATTAACCAGGACACTGCTTGAACAAAGTCTCTCTTGCTCAAGTTTTTAAAAATAAGTTTTAAATACAGAAAGCAGAAATTACATAGAGGTTTCTGCCATTACGTTCAGCACAACTTCACTTTCAAAACCGTCCAATCTGCAAGAAAATACCTCTGGTTTTGCTATTTGCACACAGACATGTTCAGCGGCAGAACATGAAGCGCGAAGGCATTGATCACTGAAATTTCACACCGCACTCCAGGTAGCCCAAATATCCATATTTTCTAGAGAAATACACACACAAACAGATATTTTGCACCTAATCAGTAATATGAGATTAGAGAACAAATACAATGAAACAACAGGGTAAAAGCAATCACAGCCAAATGCTACAAAAAATGCTTCCAGGATCCAACCTGCTGTGCGGGAGAGCTCTGGATCCTGCAGACTGTTCAAAACCCTGCTGTCACTCAGAGCAAGCTGCTCTCACACCCTCACACACCGCGGGTCCTGCTGTGACAGCTCCTAACACCCACCCACTCACACCTCCACCACCATCAAGAGGTGATGCTGCTTTCACAATGTGATGGTGCTGCAAAGTCATTAAAGACCTCAAAAATTTACAGTCAAGCAGTAACACAGCCCAGGACAGGGCCTCCCACTGTGGAGATATCCATTCTTCTGGATACCCACCACAGCTGAAGTCCTTTATGGGTAAGTTTGGAGATATCTGAGACAAGAATGCCCCTCAGTGAGTGCCATCAGGCTGCACAGCCAGGCAAGATCCAGCTACGTGCTCTTTTCTGCAAAATAATACCATCTACTAAACAGTGGAAATCTTAGTGGCAAAGGGTGATGTGTGCAAGACCAGAGGCACAGGCACTGTAGAACACAGAGCCCGTTCTCTCCAGGTGCACATAGCAGGAGACGATGCCTGCAGGAAGCACAAATGGCCAAACGGAATTCATCTCCCCACCAGGAATATGTCAGCTGACCAAGGAAATTTAGTTCCCTGCTCAAACAAACCACTGCTATGCCTATTGTATCTCAGGGATATAGTGTTACCAGTAGTTAGCTACACCTCAAATCAACAGTCTGTAGTAGGAGATTCTTTCAGAAATGTTTACAGGAGTAGGGAGGATCACGTGGTGTTGGTTCCTTCATTTTATTTTTAGCAGAGAGAGAAATGGCACCAGACACGTCAGTTAATAAACCAAGAACCAGAGGAACTCTCACACAGTCAAACACTTTCAACGAGAGTACTCTCCCACAGCTGCAGATTAGAACAGAACTTCATTATGGATTAATTCTAGGTTTAAAGAGAGGACTCTGCTGGCCTTCAATACTTTTAACATTCTGCAAATGGTGTGATTCTGGTAAAGGAAAAACATTCCAGGAGCCCTACACACATGTCCCACTCATTCCTTACACCCAGCTACTGGAAGCAGCCATCCTTAGGGATGAAAGATCTGACTCTGGATTTCCCTGTACCTCACCGTCCTCACTGCCATCACCCAAACATCACACTCCTACAAGGAAACAACACAAAGAGAATGAAAAGCAATATTGAACCTCATGCGAGCTCTGCACATTCTGCAGCCTGAAACCATCAGAGTCCTCGTGGAAAAAAACAGCTCATGAATGCAAAATTTGCATAACACCCATCAGGAGGGGCACAGATGTGCCCTAATCCAAGAACTCTCTGCTTCTGAGCTCTCAACACCGCAAATCAAATGACTTGAACATACTTTGTGGGTAGCAACTAAAACCCAACAAGCCAGTAAAGTGAAAGTGAGGTAATAAGGCATCAAAAATTACATTAAAGGAGCAAAATTTCAGCACAAGAGTTCTGCCAAAAACAAGTCCACCTGCTCCAATTCCTCAGCATCCGAGTTCAAGCAAGACCTATGGCACTCAGACCTTCTGTGGCTGCACCCATCTTCCCCAGCACTGGAGTCCGGGCCCACTTCTCCTTCCAACTAGACATTACACAGCTCAGGATCTCTGCAACTCGCAAAGGGCAGGAGAGCTCTACAGACAAGCTCATATCAAGATGGGAAAGAACAGAGATATTCAAGAACAACCACCCATTTAAATTTAAATGTTCCTAACCCAACATGAGCACAAGGCAGCAAACCAGCAGCTGCCAGCCATCACTGCTTCACCACCTCCGGAAAAAAAACAAGACCCAAGAACATTTCCTTCTCCACAATACAACATCTGTCAGGAGCTGCTGGGAACTTCAGACATACTTAAAGGAAGATTAACTTGACACTTAAAATAGCTTTGCTTCAGAATATGCACATCCCTCTTTACAACTGAATGGCACATGAGCAACCTCTGTCCTGTTTGGGGCAGTTTGGGAGCAGGAGACTGCCAGGGCTATCAACAAATCCTCATGCAAAACAATACCTGCCACCACCCCTCCTGCCCAGAGGCATTACTTTGCATCCCACTAAAGACTAAACCAAATTCTGGTCCTTGTGCTGGAAGCACTCTTGATATTTCGGAAATCAGCCTTTTCAAAGGAAGATCTAGTGAAAAATTCAAATCTTGCAAGGGGCAGACAGAGAGACTGGAGATACACACACACACTTCTTCCCTCTCGGCAAAACAGGAAGTTTGAGCAGCAGCGGCACACTCAAAATCACGAGCTTCAAAAATGAAAGCTCTGAGATGGTCTCACTAAGGTGGAGGAGCCCCATCATCAGGCAGAACAAAGGTGATACCTGAAAGACTAGCCTAGCTATGACAAGCCTAAAAACAGCTGTGCAGAACTCCCAGGCATTTGTGGTAGTTGTTTTGGGGTGGGTTTTTGTTTCAAGTTTTAGCAGGCTCTCAAAAAAAGGTTGATTCCAGTTAACCAAACACAAATGAGACAGGAATTAAATGCCTACATGAATACACGACCTGAGGAGCAAGCCTGGTTATTTCTAGTTACTATGTCATGTTCAACAATTAAAAGATTTTAACTGTCTCACTGGTAACTTGGCATAGAGGAAAATCTCTATCTCTTCCCATTCCACAGGCAGTGGGACTAAAATGAAGGATCACTCTGATTAACAAGCACTTACTAAAGACAAAATGCAAAACGTGAGAAAAGAAGGACCCTGGGTTGCCTAAAAAATGCTTTTCTTCTTTGCAGAGTTTTTTTTTTCTGAATGCAGTTATGCTTTTAAGTCACCAGAACAATCCAGCAAGGCTAACTACAGCAGGAAGGCAGTTTTACTGAAAAGTCAACCCTCCTTGCATATTCAAATAACAGGCTCCATCACTAAGACAGTTCTGTCACCGTACTAGCTGCAGTTCTGTGGCCACCGATAGCTGAAGCAAGCGTTGTGAAAGTACCTCTGCGAGCTTCTGTTTACAAAGTGAGACCCTCCCACAACCGCATCACCGAGCACATGTCTGCGAGAGATCCCTGCTCTGCTCTGCAAAACAAAGCTGAGGATATGCACAAACCTCAGACCCACAGCAGCCTCTCACCACCAAAGACCACAAGACTCCGGGATTCTTCCCAAGGAACGCTCAAGAGTGTCCACGAGCTAGAACTCTACCACAAACAAATGAACCTGCCAGCAGCATCCTCTTGGAATCACCACTTTCCTGGGCACTCTATGACAAGTGCTTCCCCACCTCCCAGAGCACACACCAGGAATGCCGGATGTTCCCAAAGGAATAGAGTCCTGATCCCCAAGTGCTGCACGCCACAGCAGGATCTTTCCGGCATCTGTGGCTCTACTGAAATTAAAAAGAGCAAGATGGTTTCGATATTACTGCTGTCAAATGAGGTAATCTTCAAACCTCGCACCAACATGTAAAACCCAGAGTATCTTCCATCAAGGAACCTTAAGTTTGCAGAAACATATTTTAGGAAATATGCAAAAACAACCTCTGAAAACCTGCAGGGAATATGCATACATAGCTGAAAATAAAAAAAAAAAAAAGCACGCTGAGAAATATCCCTTATGCTTGGGTTCAGAAGAAAATTACACACAAAAAAAAGAAGTTTAATGCATCTACCTCCTTTCAGAACTCTTGAAGTTAGATCAGTTTCGCTTCTTATTGAATATATTATTAAAAAAACTAAAGGAATTTGTGAGTGTAGAGAGAAATTGGAAAGGAAAAAAAAGTCAGCCTGAATAGAAGGCAACGTTTGTTGCCCGTGAGGTCTGTCAGGCCATGACACGGCCTCTCCCCGGCCATCGCCAAGGTCTCACAGCTCGGGAACCTCAAGCCGGGCCAGACAAAGAGCCTCTGACAGCGTTACAGCCGGAGCGGGCAGGAGAGAGGAACGCTCTGCTCCTCATCTCCACTGCACTCAAAACCAACCCTGTAACAAGGCAAAAAACTCCACCGAACTCCGCAGCGAGTTCCCGGGCGGAGGAGATGATGTTTCTTATTGCTGACGGGAGAAAAAGCGGGGGGGGGAGCGCGGGCGGCCGCGCCGGGACACAGGTGCGCGGCGAGCGCGGTGACAGCCCGGCAGGGTCCCCTCGCTCGGTAAGATGGCTCCTGCCCTCGGGGTGCCGGGGCGAGGGAGGGAGCGCGGCCGGCCCGGCCTCGCCGCACCGCAAAATGGCAGCGGCCGCGGCCCCCCCGCCCGCGCCCCGACGGTGCTTACGAGCTGCAGGGCCGCCGAGGACTCCGGCTTCTCCCCGGGGCCGCCGTCCGGCACCGGCTCTCCTGGCTGCAGGCGGCTGTCGGAGCCCCGCTGCGGCGCGGGGCGGCCGCGGCTCCGCGAGCCGGGCTCTGCCGCCTCCTCCTCCTCGTCGTCGTCGTCCTCCTCCTCCTCCTCTTCCTCGTAGTCGTCGTCGTCGTCGTCGTCCTCCTCCTCCTCCTCCTCCTCCGGCGTCTCGGCGCCCTCCTCCTCCTCCTCCTCCTGCGGCGCCTCCTCTCCGCCGTCCCGCAGGAGCAGGGGGAAGGCCCGGGCCCCGCGGGGCGCCTCGGCAGCCGGGTCCTGCGGTGCGGGCAGGCGGGGGGGCGGCGAGCCGGGGTCGGGCAGGGCCTCAGCGCCGTCGGCAGCGCCGCCGAGGTACTCGGCGTTGATCATGGAGGCCAAGTCCTGCAGCCGGCGCAGCGGGATGTAGCAGGACGACGGGTCCTGGCCGTAGCCGGGCTTGGCGGCCGCCAGCTGCATGGCGGGCGGCTCGGGGCCGCGGGCCTCGCCGAAGGGGCCGCCCTTGGGCTCGGCGGCCGCCAGCGAGGTGCCGAAAGGGACGAGGCAGCTGCGGCGGCTCACTTCGCAGGCCTGCTCCATGCCGGGCGGCGGGCATCCACCTGCGGGCACAGCACAATGGGGTCAGCCCGGCCCGCACCGCAAAATGGCAGCCGCGCCCGGGGGCCGCGCTCCGCTCCGCCGGCCCCGCTCCGCCACCGCCGCGCTACAGGCCCCAAGGCCGCGGCCCGGCCACCCCGGCTCGGCTCGTCACCGGGGCCGCTCGCCCTGCCGAGTGCTGACACGGGGCCGCCGCTCACCTGCGGGTGCCGCGGGCGGCTCGGCGCCTGCCCCCGGAGCGGGGCGATGGGGAGACGCGCCGACCCGGCCCGGCCAGGCCCCGCCGCCGCCGCTCCGCCGCCTCCCTCCTCCTCCCTCCCCCGC